CAAGGACTCCCGACACCTATCCATGCCCCTTTGGTGGACCTCCAAATAAGAACCCTTTTCCTAGAGTCATACATGCTGGATTTAAATTTTCAATAATGTTTTTCATCCCATAAGTCGGCACTCTCTGTATCTTGCCTCCTACTCTGTAGGGCATCCCTCACTAAATAAGGAGCTGATGCTTCACACCTAAACTCCCAGCACCTGTCACTAATTGTTCTAAAAGATACTATAGATATGGCGATTTTTGTTAGACTTTTCCAGCTACAAAATTTAGAGCTTTGGAAATGGAAGTCAGTCTTCAAAGGATTTTATGGTGAAAAATGTCCGTCTGCAGGCAGCTGGGTTAGAATTAACCAAACTAATGCCTTCCTGTAAAAAGTAAGGTTTTAGTGCAAATTTAAACTTTGAAAGGAGACACCAAAAAAGATTTTCGAAAAGGAAGAAGGGGTGAGAGGCCATGGATATGGCAAAAGAGAGAGAGAGAGAGAGAGAGAGAGAGAGAGAGAGAGAGAGAGAGAGAGTTGACAGGAATATAAAAGAAGGAAACCAACAGAAAACAAGATTTTGATGATTTTTCAAAATTGGAAATATTATTAGAAATAAATCACATCTTTGTTACTTTAGCTTTGGTCGTAAGAAGAGCTCTGAATATCAGCATTCAGTTTTCCCAAATGACAGGGTTTGACATCTATCTCCTTAATACCAAGACTACGGTGTGGAAAAGCAACCATCACTCCTCTGCAAATTACACGCCTTATCTCAGAGGAGTCCATAAAATTCGGGCAACTTCAAGTAAAGGGTCAGCTCTCAAACACACTATTTTCCAAAACGACTATCTTAAACATATATATAGCTATGCAAATTCCACGTTTCCTTTCATGCTATTTTCAGGTTGTTTTTCAAATTAAACATTAGGCTGTGCAGCGCACAGAGGACGTAAGATTAAAGGGCCGGTTGAGTTCCCCGAGGTTTGGGTTTTCCGCATTTGCCTAGAAATAGATTTTCTCTGGGTGGGCCAGGTGAAATGCAACAAAGTTATTGTTACCTCACTTCCCTTGGCTTTTTGGGTGGAGAAGCCAGATGAAAGGGGGGCCGGGGAGAGGAAAAATAAGGGAGTGGCCAGAGAGGAAGAACAAGAAGAAGGAGGTGCTGTATGGACTCAATAAGGTCAGACGGATTTACCACCAGATTTTCTGTTGTTTCAAGAACAAATAGAGAAGAGGTAAGGAGAAAAAGAGAGAGAGAGAGAGAAACTGTGGCTTACAACAAGGAGGAAGCAGAAATGTTCACTTCCCACGTTGGACATCAGGGATGGTTTTCTGAGATCCAAGAAAGCAAAGAGCAAATAAACCCCACGTACTTTGGTCAGGGTGGACTCTGCCCTGTCCTGCAAATGGCCCTTTTAGAAGTCTGCATTGAATTCATTGACTCAATAGCAAACCTTGGCTGGGAGTTTAAAAGAGAAATGTTCGGCTTGAGTGCTTAATAGTATACCAAAAAATGAATGTACCATCACACTTTTTAAAGGGCTCCTTCTACAGATTCTTCATTAAATTATATAACCTGGCACGACTAGTCGGTTTTCTTTAATTTAGAGTGTACCAGCAGATTTCTTCCCAGCCAGAGGAGTATGCTTCTAATTACGTGACCGGTTCAGTAACTGAAACACACCATGCTATTAGCCAGGCGATTGAAGAGCAGTTTTGACAAGCTCCGAGCCTGTCAGGGACATGAACTTAACGCCTTAGGCCAACATCTGACTCTCTTGACTCTAGTATCTGAATAATCCGGTTTTTTCTTTGGGGCAGGGGCGATGTTTACATATACCACAGGCCTTACCTTTAGCAAATTTAACAATAGTTGGAGAAGGGGCAAGAGCTTTGCACTTCTGCAGAGAAGCAGTGCTTCCAAAAAAGCCATTCCCTCCATCTCCTGTTAGAATTTATGTTATGACGAAGCTATAAATCAGTCATCATGCCAGTTAATTTTTTTTCAGCAGCTATTACATCTGCTAGTTTTGCTTCAGGCCACGCAGGAACAAACATAATTGTTATCAAGGAATGAATTTAGCGGAATCACAGCTTTGCCACACTGCTTCCTATCAGAAGATGGTCGCAGCAGGGAATTGTCTCTGGCTCACACCCTCTACTGCCACTCCTTCCTCAACAACAACCCTAAGAAAGTCAGCACTGACTTCTCCAACCGTGAGCTCCTCAATCTTTCCATGGCCAGATACAGATGCTCAAAGTTAAATCCATGGCCAGATACAGATGCTCAAAGACCCCAAATAATGACATGTCCCTGGACCCTCTGGACATTCCTCACATTGCTCAGGTGGGTGTCGGTTGCTTCTGTAAGCTATTTCATAAACCCCAGGAGCCAGAGGCACATCTGCTACCATCCCCTCCGGACCTCCTGGTGCCAGAGCTGGCTTCTTTTCTATCTTAACCAACAACAAGGGTCAAAGAGGGGTTTAAAGCGCCTCTGAATCCATGAGTCTCCAACTTGACTGGACTTTAGAATCAGCCAGGAATCTACAAACAATACTCAGGTCTGGTGCCTCTGCCCCAGATGGTGAAGTCATTAATCTGAACACTTCCTGGAGCTAAGAAGGTTATAGGATGAATAATTTCAAGATGTATTATGGAAGATTCCTATTAATGAGATTTCTTGGAAATTGGAATGGACGAATGGTGTGTGTGTGTGTGTGTGTGTAGTGGTTGGGAGAGAGAATGAAGTTTTGTTTTTCTGTTTATTTTTTTTGTTTTTGTACTATGTTGGACTCAAGGGCACTTTACCACTGAGCTACACATCTCCAGCCCTTTTTGTCTGTTATTTCGAGACAGGGTCTCCCTAAGTGGCTGAGGCTAACGTCAAACTTGTGATCCTCCTGCCTCAGCCCACCAAGTAGCTGAGATTACCCTGTGCCCAGCTAGAGAACGAAGGTTTTGACTTCCTGCAACATAAGTGCTCTCGCTATGTTTCTATAATAGTGAATCTTTCTTTTGGGTCTTATAATTATAATTTTGTTCCTGTTCTCTGTACCGAAGAAGCTCTCTGTCCATTTATACCCCACTCAGGATTTGTATTTCACTTCTTCCAGAAAACATCCTTGGTCTTCAAGTCCTGATCTTCCACCTCCTGTCTCTTGGGGCTTCTCCTTTAAAATACATGCCACATGTTCCTTCATATCTATTTCCCCTCCAGCCTTTGAACCACAAACACAAGAACCGTGTATACACTGGTCAAGATTATAGAACTGCAGATGAGCATTGTGTCTGGCATATAGTAAACACTCAATAAATATCGAATAATTGATTGAAAGTTGATAATTCATTGTTCCTCCCAATGGATTTAGAATATCTCTGCATTCAGTGGAGATGAGATACCAGTGTATAATAATATCCTATATTCAAGTAGTGGCAACACAATTGTTGTTTGTTTTAAGGACACATCTTCCTGGCCTTTACTTTCAGTAGGTGCTTGTCGAGAGCATAGCTGGGAATTTTGGCCTCACCTTGGGCTGAAAAGAGCCCTGATTGGCACTGATTTAAATATCTAGAAAGAGGATTCCATACTTTCTTCTTCTAATAACCTTGGGGTGGAGGTATTCTGTGAGAGGTAAAGGGTAAAACACAGGAAAGTTCTACTAAAACAGTCAGATGCTGAGTCACTTTCGATAGCCCTCAAGTTTAGTACCAGAGACCTGCTCTCAGGCAAGTACCTAAAGAACAATTACCCTCCAACCCCAGTTACTGGGTGTCTCCCAACCTGTGGTCTAGGAGCATGTACTGAGGGCTGACTGTGTGTTGAAGAAATTCTGAGGGTAGCATCACTATTTGAAAGGTTTAGTTAACTGTTCCATAAGTCTAAAAGCAGCAAATGCCACGCCTCTCTTGAGGTTACATCTCCTTGGTTTACTTAATATCTTATTCCAGATCACAAATGCATATTGTACTGGCCAAGTAAGTCACCTTCCTTCTGAATCAGTTATATGCATTGTTCACTCCTTTCTGTCTTAAGCACATTTCTTAATTTCTTTCATCCACCTGTAATATGGGCCTGCACAGCATGGGTGAGTCACTTAGCAAAATCAAAAATACACGATATCCCTTAGGGGGTCCAGGATAAGAAATCACAATATGCAGGTAAACTTTGACCCTTCCCCTGACCTCCCAGAAAGGTTTGCAATGACCAGCTCAGCTCATCTCTTTTTCCTTCCTCATCAAAGTCCCTTACAGTAAAGAGCACCATCAGCTTTCCTTATCCCTACCCTGAGTGTGAGTTTGGCAGGAGTTCAAGCAGGACCACAGGACTCCCATTAGAAAATGATCATCTATTATCCAAAGTACAGGTATGAAGACACGAATTGGTGTGAATATACTGTGTATACAACCAGAGAGATGAAAAATTGTGCTCTTTATGTGTAATAAGAATTGTAATCCATTCTGCTGTCATATATAAATTAAAAAAATTAAAAATTTAAAAAAAAACACACCTCCTTCATCACCTTCCCAAGCAGCAACTGAATAGATAGTCCATTTCTTCAAGCTGGTTTCCTATATGCAAATCAGGACATTGAACTTCTTACACACTCCAGTAATTATTCTATACTAGGACCTACAGCATGGATTGAACAATTTTTATTTTTTCTTTTTCATTTTTCTTTTTCTTTTTTTGAGAATAAGGGTTTTTGGTTTAACATAAATCCAAACTTACAGACAAGAATACCACAAAAAACTTTCATGTACCCTTTATCCAGATATACCAGTTATTTATCTTTTGCTCCATTTGCCTTATGATTTCCTGTCTTTCTAAACACACACACACACACACACACACAAACACACACACACACACACACACGTTTTTATGTCTTAAAACTTTTGAGAATACATTGCATACATTACATTACATGAATAATTTAGTACTGATTTGCTAAAATCAAGAACTTTGTGCCAATGTACCACTCATACAAAGATCAAAGCACAATACAATGATAAAAACCAGGAAACTTAAGATGTAATTAATTTGTAATCCATATTCTAATTTCTTCAATTGTCTCAATTTTTCAAATAGCATCTTTGAAGTTTTAGATGTCTCAATTACACATGACCTTTGTTTCCCATCAGTTTTCTTCCAAATAAATTCTCTTCAGGTCTCTTTAATTATGGGGAGGCAGCCAGCATCTTGTTAGGGGTTTCTTCTTCCTGCCAAAGAGGGTGTAAACCACCTAAGAAATTAAAGTCCAGAATAATTAGTGAAGAACAAAAGACAAAGTTGGAAAGATAGTTTCAAAAAGTTGGAGCCCCTGATAGGTCCAGTCCACACAGGAGCTGGACTAGACAATTAGAAAATGTCTCCCATCATTTATTTTAGGGGATACATCAAAGTCAGGGATAAGATTTTAGGGGTGGTGTCTTACTTCATTGTGTCTTGCAGTCAGCATATGACTGGCGTCTTGGTAGGTCGCACCCATCTCAGAGGGATAGTGTGGCTAGGTGGTTATAGCAGGTGGCCCAATCTCCAGTGCTGTGTGGGACAGAGCAGAATAGGGTTCACAGTGTGTCTGGGCAGTCAAACAGAAGAAATGTCCACTAGAAGTTCCCAGACACCAGATTCTCCCATTCATTAACCTGTGTTGTACTAACATAGTCCACATATAGCCCACAGAGGGCTCTTGACATTTAATGTTGAAGTGTATCTGTTCTTCTTGGAATTCCATGACTTGGATAATTTTGAAGAGTATAAACACTTTTTGTTATAAATGTTTTCTTAATTGATTAGTATCTGATTGCTTAGCATCAGATTTTGTGCATGACATGTGAGGTAATGTTTTGTGCTTCCTGATATCTCCTGTGAAGAGATATGTGATGGAGTTTTTTCTTTTTTGATAGTACTTAAAGAGATGCCTACTAAAATTAGATATTAAGCTGGGCATGGTGGTGCACACCTGTAATCCCAGCATATGGAGAGGCTGATGTAGGAGGATTGCAATTTCAAAGCCAGTCTTAGCAACATAGCAAGGCCCTAAGCAACTTGGCAAGACCCTGTCTCAAAATAAAAAAATTAAAAAATTAAAAAAATTCTGTGGATGTGGCTCAGTAGTTAAGCACCCCTGGGCTCAATCCCTAGTACCACAAAAATAAAATAAAATAAACTTATTAACTTGAAATGATAAGATTTTTCTTAGTTATTTTTCTGCTGTGAAAGATTACACACACACACACACACACACACAAATGCACACAGAAATTTGCATACATAATCATGTAACAATGAAGATTCACTCTGAGAAATACTTTGTCAGGTAGTTATTGTCATTGAGAAAACATTGTGGAGTGTATCTATATAACCTAAAAAACATGACCTGCTATGCACATAGGTTATATGGTAAAATCTATTATTAGTAAACTGCAAGCCTGTATACCATGCTATTGTGTTGACTATAGGCAATTGTAGCACAAAGGTAAAAACTTGTGCATCTAAAAATATCTAAACACTAAAAAGGCAGGGAAAAATTACTAGCCAATAGGCATTTTTTAGCTCTGGTATAATTCCTCCCTCCGTAGTATTGAGGATTGAGCTAAGTGTTGATCTGTTACTGAGCTACTTTCCCAGGCTTTTTTACTTTTTATTTTGAGATAGGGTCTTGATAAATTTCCCAAGGCTGGCCTTGAACTTGTAATCCTCAGCCTCCTGAGAAACTGGGATTACAGGCATGCACCACTGAACCCAGATTCTCAGCTTCAATATAATCTTAGGGAACCACTATCATATATGTGGTTTGTTGTTGACCCAAATGTCATATGGCACATGACTAGATATGAATGTATTTGCATATGCATGTATGCAAAAATATTTAGTGATTTATTGTATTTGCAGTAAGTACTAGTTTGCCAGATACTATGCAGGAGTGTCACTGCATCACTAGTACACATTCTTAACCAGCCATCAAACAGCTCTATCTTATCATCCAAATCAAACAGATCAAACAAAGCAGCCCTGGTGGGGTCTGTTTAGAAATCACTGGTCTTAGATTCAGGAGACATGAACTCAAATTGAAACGTGTGTTTTCTCTTTTAGAACTGACTCTCATCCAAATAAATAAATTCGGGGATTAATTATTGAAGTGGATCCCCCTCTGGTTCTTTCCAGCTCTTAAATTATACCACCTGCAAAAGATAATTGCAAAAGACACTCAACACCATTAGCCATTAAGAAAATGCAAATGAAGGCCACAATGAGATATCACTACTCGTCTATCAGAATAGCTAAAATGAAAAATAGTGATGACACTAAATACTAGTGAGGGTGCAGTAGACTACATTCCGATAGCGTGCTGGTAAAATATACGTGGTACAGTCACTTTAGAAAATAGTTGGGCAGTTTCTCTAAACACTAAACATGCAATTCCAATACAACCTAGCAATTGCACTCTGGGCATTTATTGCAGCAAAATAAAAACTCAGGGTCACACAATTTTGTACGTAACCATTTACAGCAAATCTATTCATATTATCTGAAAAATATGGAAACAGCACAGATGAGTGAACAGTTAAAAAAAAAAAACAATGGTATACCCATATTGTGAATTACTACTTAAACAGTAAAAAAGAATGAAATCTTGATGCACATGATATTTTGTATGAATCTCTGGAGCATGATGCTGGATGAGAAAAAGACAACAAGATCGGTCATGCTATACGATTCCATTTAAATTACATTCTTAATATGACAGAATTATAGAAATGAAAAACAGATTAGTACTTTCCTGGAATCAGAGTAAAGGAAGAGAATTAAATTAAAAGAGGATATGTTATCAAAGGTCAAAAAGAGGAATCCTTCAGTGATGGAATTATTTTGAATCTTGACTGTATCAATGTCAACATTCTGGATACTATTCTTGAGATTTAGAAGAGGTCACTGTTGCAAGAAAAAGGGTAAGTAGTACATGGAATTTCTTTGTGTCATTTCTAACAGTTGTCTACGAATCCATAATTACCCCTAATAAAAAGTTTCATTAGGGCTGGGGCTGTAGGTCAGTGGCAGAGTGCTTGCCTTGCATGCGTGAGGCATTGGGTTCAGTCCTCAGTACCACATAAAAAATAAACAAATAACATAAAGGCATTCTGTCTATCTACAACTACAAAAAAAAAAAAAAGTTTAATTAGAAAGACTACTGCATATTCTGGTTGTGTTTTGCTTCTTGACCTCCAGTTTGAGGACTAATGAAAATTTTGGGGAAGCCTGAGAAGAAACAGGCAAGAAATTGAGAAAACGACAGCAAAGATCTACCCCGGACTTTGAGCTCCCTTTGTGATACCAAATGCAAGGAATGTGGGTCTGCCTGCAGCAGCTGTGTAGACACTTCAGGACTCAGCAGAGAGACCCTCTCAGGTTATGAGGTGCAGGTGGCCACTCCAGGGAGAAAGTATCCCTTCGAGATAATGCAAAATAGCCCCAAGCTGAATAGGATTTTTACTGCCCTGCCTGCTTGAAAACCTATTTGCAAACTTGTGCTAATGAAGTTAAAGTGGTTTGTTTCTATTGGCAGAAACTGCAAATCTGGTCCCAGTTATTTTACTTCTGAGAAACCCAAGTGCTATGTGACCAGGACCCTGACACTAGCAAACGCAGACTTCCTAAAGCTAATATTATACCGCTTTCTGTCTATAATGTTGCATCAAGAGATATAATGGCTGAGGGCCGACCAAGAGAGCTTATTCAAAGTCTATGGAGTGAATAATAAGACTATCAAAAGTTAACATTGATTAAAGATTTATAACAAGGTATACTTTCTTGCATTATTTTATGTAATCTACACAGGTATCTGAAGAATTAGGTGTAGTTATTCTTATTAGTAGGAGAGGAGGAAGCTAAACTTCATGAAGGTGAAGTGCCAGAATCAAAGCCATTAAATGCCAAGGCCAGGATTGCATTTAAAGCACAGATCTGAGTTCTCAATTCATCCATTGAACAGCAGGCCTTCCAGACAGGTGAAGAGTGGAACGTGTGCCCCCAGCAGACACAAGCTGTGTCAAGAGACACTGACCAGGGTCCATTTTGATACAGAAAATAAGTAGAAGGTGATTTTTTTCCCAGCCATTTAAAAATGTATAATAACTGAAGTTATAATGACATTGAATCCGAATGCCTTCTTTAACAGTTTCCAGAATTTAATAACTGTTTTTTTGTACCATGCTTTAGTTTAAGGGTGTCTCTCTAAATTTCATATGTTGGAACTTTAATTCCTCTATGGTGGTGAGGCCGTTAACAGGTATTTAGATCATGAGGGCTGACCATCATGGGGGAATTATTAATGCCTACTCACAGCATTGAGTGAGTTCTGGGGCAGGATTCTTTTTTTTTTTTTTTTAAAGAGAGAATTTTTCTTTTACTTTTCAGTTTTTGGTGGACACAACATCTTTATTTTTTTATTTTATGTGGTGCTGAGGATCGAATCCAGCGCCCTGCGCATGCCAGGCTAGCGAGCTTGAGCCACATCCCCAGCCCCTGGGACACTTACTTTTTTAAATTCAATTTTCTAAATCTTTAAAAACCTGGTGTTTCTTTAAGTATATTAAAACAGTTTTACTTTGTAAAAATATTCATTATGAAGTTGAAAGGTCGGGTTTTGCAGCATATACACAGCAATTCCTTTCTGCAGAAAAAAAAAATATGTTAACTCATTAACCAGGCAATCCAAAGAACATCTCAAATTATTGCATATCCTGATGAATCTTCTCATCCTCAACCAAAATGTTGCTCCTGTTAGAAAAAGTTTTCAAATTCAACCATGTGACCAAGCAAACTATGTCAGTAACTACCGCAAAGCTTTTCGTTTACCCAAGGGGGAAAATATTGGAACATTGTAAAACATCTGCAAGCGTGAAATAAGAAAGCATCAGATCAAAGAGAGGAAGCTAGTTACAAGGTCAGTTGAGCAATTAATAGACAAGGACAAAACATGTCAGACAAGTCCAGAGTTTCATTTTGCTTTCCAGCGTGGGAATTGTTCAATCCACATTTGGAAATTACGACAAAGGACATAGAAGAGGTGCCACTTTCGAATAATATAGTTAGTAAATAGTGTCCTTTATTTAAATAAATACAGATAATTGATTATGAACATTTTCCTGAAGGATCACTTTTTGGAAATGAGTAACCATGATCATTAATGGCACTCATGAGAGTCTAACAAGAACTCTTGGAGGAACATAGTTCCGCAAAATAATGATTAGTGTAATAACAACAATTTAACTAAAATATTTTTAAAACAACAATGGTGTTCAGAAAGTGACTTAAAATAGTAAATGAATAATTTCAAGCATATTTAAAATATTATAGAACAGCTGGGAAGGTCACACCTGTAACAACAAAAGTGTAAAGGTTGACAACAAGAGTTTGTTTTGAAAACTCCACATTTCCAATAACTTATTGTTTTATTAGAGAAACCTACAGTTTTGAGGATTAAGATCCCATGCAAATAACAAGTTATCAAACTCATTTCCCCACCAATTTCCTGATCC